TGCCTTCTTCGGATCCCATCTCGATATTATGAAGACTTTCTTCGGTCCATTATGTTTCCATCTGGATCAGTCGTACGAAGGCCGAAATCAGTTTCGACCGTATACAACCATAGAGGCCTATCTCATGTAACATTGTTGGTTTTACACCTGTTCTATAAAACTCTCCTATCACATTGTTAGGTTATCACATAGCATTCCAAAAACTCCTCCATTATGTACTCTCATAATACTCCTCCATTTTATTCTTCTTATTTAATTTCTATGTGCTACATCTCCATCTATTATGCCATTCTTGCGGAAGATTGAGCCAAGATATTAGAAAATGTTTTCTTGTAAACAATACATTCCTCTCTAATCTCATTCACCTTCATTCTTCCTTTGGGGGCTAAATTTGTAGTGCAATATTTATCTTACTTTTGCTTATCCTAATAAATCAGTTCTCTCTAGAGTCAATTTTCATAGTTCTAAGTATAATCTCATTTTACCTACATTTCCCACTGTAAGATCCTAAAATTTCCACACTGATTTACTCCGAAGGAGGTTAAATTAATTGCTTGAAAGAATTAACTCACAACTCTATGTAACAGTCAAAACAGAGAAAAAGGTTAAGAAACTTGTTACCAAAAGTAATAAGTTACCTGATGATCCTGAGAAACAGCTGGAATATCTCTATAACTAAGGCATCACATTCAAGGTCCAGCAGCATCACACAGGCCTTGACATCTGCCACAGTTTCAAGAACATGCACAGCCTTATAATAATGGCGGGCTGAATGAGATAAATCTTCAAATGCCCTTACTATAAGTTGGAAAATTTCCTGAGATTTTTCGATACAAGCGTGTGAAAACAAAAAGGAAATGGATATAAAGTTTGAGCAAATGACATTAGCTAAACTAGTTAGTGGTTCTTTTTACACATATATAATATGTGTGTGTGTAAGGAAAAGAGAACAACAAAGTAGAATGTTATATCTTGGATACCTTCATTAGTCCATCATCATAAGGTTGCTGAGGGGCAGTTATTCTAGAAAGCTCACAGAGACAAGATACAACAGAGAATTTGACATCCACATCAGCATTCTTTAAAAGTTCACTTCCAACCATAGCTCTCATTACTGGTCGAAGTGCATCTTTCATTGAATCAGAAGGGGCTTGACCTACCTTTATCAAT